AACCTGGTTACGGGTCTGGACTTTATGCAATACTGTAAATACTTATTTTTATACATACATTAATTTAAATTAATTTAATACGTTGTACTCAGCTAATAATTTAATTAGTGGGTTAGCTTTGCTAATTTCTGAAAATTTTATTTAACAAAATACTGTCGTTGTTAATAACTGACTAATATACTTGAAATGGTTAAAAATCATTTACAGACAACATATTTTTATTTTATTTTAATAATTAAGTTTTGTCTACCTGAACTTTGTAAAGTGCTCTCTATCTTATTTTATGCCATGATGTAATCATATTTAGGCCTATTAAAAATAAAAGTGAACTTATATACTGTGTTTATGTATTTTTACTAATAGAAATGCACTGGCTTGCACAAACATAGTACTGCAGGACGGTGGCTTGACCAATAAAAACAATAACTGTATATTATATTCTTGAATCAGTACTGTTTTCTGTGATTGGTTTGTTTTTAATATTTCACAAAGTTGTCGCTATGGTGATTTCAACAAAGATGACCATTCAGATGCTATGTGTTCTTGAGGTAGAAATTCTTGAGGAATATCTTGGAATAGATGGAGTCTGTGGCTGTGAAAGAGGATGAAGAGAAACTAGTTACTGACGTCTGCCATCATCATCGCACAGCAATGCTCATATATACGAAGATATGTTTAAAAAACTGCTCAAAAAGGGCTGATTTTCAGCGATTTCGCACCGGATTTTTGGAACACAAAACAAATTGTAATGAAAATCGATTAAATAAGCCTTTGAAACCCCTAAATTGTCAAAATTTTCGGGGCTTCGCCCCCTGGACCACTTTCGGTGCCTTTTAATCAAAGCTCGACCACGCCCACTTTGCTTTCGTCGGGGGAACAGGTTCCCCCTCCCCCGTTGGGGACCTCGGTAGGCCTATATACCTCCCTCGAGACCACCTCCCGTAAGTGGTCACTCCAAAGTCCATTCTCATTAGGTCCGCCGCGTACACACACTAAGATATTAATACAGGATTTCTCTATCTTTTTCTTAAATTTTCCGCTCACTGGACATCTATTCATAACCGATCCTCTTCAAGTAACTTGCTAAGTATAATAATTGTGGATTTATTTTGTTTGAGGAGAAATTTGGCGGTGTAAATATTTATTGATTGCCGAACTGAGAGCCAGGCCTGTTACAACATAGGCCTACTCAATCACAGTGTGTCAGTAAAAGAAAAGGGATATCGATCGATTAGGCCTAGCTATCTTCGGCGAGGCCGCTAATTGGGGTCTGGCTTAGCTCTTCTTCTTTCTCTAACAATGAACTTCCTAAGTCTGAGCGCTTAATTGATCGCGGCAATTAAAACAACACAATGATACTTCTAAAGGTGTTACCTCATATCATTGCATCTATATTTCTCGCCCATAATGCTATTAAACCAATGTGCTTCCTCGAAAAATCCCCAATCGTACGCCACTGCGTCGTAAAAATTGTTTTAGTCAGAAAACTTTGATCGATCCAGCAAAATTCACAACCCTGGTGCTCATGCTTTTGAGTGGTGACATAAGTATTAAGTATCCCGGACCAACAACATCTCATTTTAGGAGTAAAGTTAAAACACCATAATACATAATGTTAAACTGGAATCATTTGCACCAGCAAAGTCATCATTTGTAACTTATGCAAATGTTGGACTCGCATCAGATGCTCGAAATTTTTTAAAAGACGCTGGCTACAAAAAAAAAAGAAAAAAAAAACTCGTTTAATGCTTCTCCGCTTCACGATATTGATACCGACAACATGTTAAGTTGCTAATTTTAAATCGTATTTAGCATTACGTCTTTTTATTTAAACTGATGTTGTTAGTGCCAATTAAGTTTATTGTTTATTGTGTAGCGCCCTCAGGCATAAAGAGGTAAAGCAGCATGATGGATTCGAGGAAACACAGTTAGCCAGTGAGGCCTAAAGAAGTAAAGGTCCCTATAGATGTAATGTACGTCACTTCACATGACCCCAATGGAAACCAGTAGTGTGCAAGGAAAGGCAACATGATTGTTCAATCGTACCACTTACCGCGCCTACTAAGTTTCGAAAATTTCACGAAATGCGTAAGATCAATATCTGACATCTTCGCTCTGGCCCTGGCTCTAGCTTTCTTCTTCGTGGGTACTACAACATCCACCAACACTTACAGTCAAGCAGGCTTCAAGCGGACCATGTGTGCGTGCCACACTGTAAAGTATTTTTGCATGCGGATACATAAACAATTAGCCAAAATTTGTGAGAAAATCGCCAGAAAAATATGTGCGTAAAATCGGAAATACTGCATAATACATTGGTTATATGTTGAGACAAATAATGAGAGAGAGTGTGTGTACGTGACAGGATAAACATACCATTACTATAATTATTGTATTTATTCTTTATAAATGAAGTAGGTCGAAGGTACAAAACAGCAAATATTATTTTTTGCGTTGCACAACATGATTATAATAGTATTGCTAGGAGAGCCGTATATAGTCTGGTATCCGTATGAGATAAACACACTGGTAACACTTTAAAGACTAATTATTCTAATACAGCAGCTTTCGCCACCTGTCCGGTGTAGCTGAAAATCAACATACAGTACTGCACAGTACATAACAAATCCAGCCGCAAAACAATAATTTTGAAGGGCGCCCGCTATAATTATGGGAATTCCCCTTTCTCCGTTACGTCATCGTGCACCGTGCCAGCATTAAAACAAAAAATCACCATTCAGAGGATCAGAAGTATCATTTACGTTGGTTTTGACTCAGAGCCTGGCCAGATTTTATTTTTGTTGTAGTAAGCTACTTTGAAATTCAGTTGAATCTGTCTGCCTACTCAGCTAATTATTCTACAAACGAGGAAATAAAACGTCACATTTTGTTATACTGTACATTACAAATTTATATAATCATTTCTAATTATACAATGATAATTAACAATCTACATGAGGATTACTAATTAGAATATCAGCAATATATAATCATTGAAAGTCATAACAAGCTTTATGTTCATTATTCGAGTTATGATATAGCTTCCCTTCTGTAGGATGAGGGGCAAAGTCTTAATAAAAAATTGTTTTCTTCTTAATGAGGTAACCGTGCCTGCCGGCCCTGAGGGATACATCTGTATAACATACAGTGAAATTTCTATAGTAACCTTCTGGACCAAATGGCCTATTATTAGAGGTGTTCCCCGAATAGTGTTTAAAAAATTCAAAGTCAATATATCCTTTATTCATCCAATAATGGAAATTACATGCAAGTGTACAATTTATAATAATAATATTATTATTATTATTATTATTCTTGTTGCTATTATTATTAGTATTAATATTATTATTATTATTAGGCCTATTTGAAATCGATAGAAGGCACTTATCGAAAGTTGTAATAGACAAATCCATATAAAAATATATAATTGGTTTTACAGACTTGCACGTTAAAATCGAAAAGGCATATAAACACATATTGGTCAAAAACCACATTATGATATTAAAAAAGCACATAAAAAAGTCACAATGGAAAAATTAAACGTATAAAAACACATTATGAAATTTAAATACCAAGATTGTTCCCCAAGCATAACCTTCCAGAAACAAGTATATAAAAAGTTTAAAAGATATATTTTCTTTCTCAATTTACAGCCTAAAAAGAGAAGATAGGTTCTACTGTATGTCAAAACACTGATATCGTAAATGCACAAACGTTGAAACATAAAAATACAAAATGTATATAAAATATAGGGATTTGTAGCAATTTTTATTATATTCTAATCAATTAAAGATACATTTATACCAACTAATGTTATACTTTCATATTATCATACGTTTTTTTAAAAATCATACACAATTTATATAATGCATTATTTACAGTAGACCTACGCGGTGTCTTACACATTGCATTGTTTTTTCCGACACCAAGCGTCTAAAATACATAATGTGGTACATATTATTTGGGGTATTTTCCGAATCATTCTCAACAACTTTTGCTAGCCAAAATAAAACGCAATTCATATAATAATCAACCAGGGGTGGCGCCAGCGAGGGGGCCGCCAACACCCCATCGGGGAGAAAAACCACAATTCATCGGGGAGGAAAAAAAATTATATCTATATATTTTGTACATTAGTAGACCCTGAAATCGATTAAATAAGCCTTTAAACCCCCAGACTACTTTCGAAATTTTAAGCGACGCTTGTCGGGGAAATCTTCCCCCTCGTCTCGGGCATCGGACCCCAATCGGGCGCCTCGTACCCCCGTCGGGCAAGTCCTGGCGTCACCCCAGTTTTCACTACCTTATCATTTCGCCTGTTAAGCATCTTACGCGTATATTAGTTTTGTGAAAGGAATAATAGTAATTTAAAAGTTCTCTTTTGCTATATTTTTACCATTAAATATTATCTTTGAACTTTCATAGATAATGCAATACAGTACTGGTCACGTATGTACAAATAATTAACAAGTGCTATAGAACTTGTTTATATTTATTTTCATGTATCGAAGGTCGATCAACTCAAATGGCTCTTCGTGGCACAGGTCTATGGATACATTGTTCTCATCTTGCCTATGATGCCTTTCTCCACTGAGGTGATTTAAAACCAAGCTTGAAAGTTATCGATAGAAGTCAAATTCAGTGACCCAACTAGGATCTTGGAAAGGAGTACTGATGTCAATTGTGCGTTGTCCGTCAGTTAGGATTTGTTGAACATCCCAGTCCAAATACTGGTACCTACACAATGGACAAGTCTTGCTTCTGTACAACCATTCCGTTATACAGTGGACATCGGCGAATTGATTGCATTGGAGGCATTTCCAACGTAGTTGGCCCAATACGCTTAAGCAGATACAGCAGTTCATTTCGTTGTTTTGGTCCTAAATAAAAGGGTAAAATATAATATATACTGATGAAAAATTGAACAATATCGGCCAATATTCAAACCTCAACCTCTGTCTATATGTAATGTTATGCTACAGCGCAATATGGAGAAAAGAAATATTTGGACCTACCTGGGCTCTTTGTCCGTGACTTAAGATTTGTTGCACATCCCAGTCCAAATACTGGTACTTACACAATGGACAAGTCTTGCTTCTGTACAACCATTCCGTAATACAGTGGACATCGGCGGATTGATTGCATTGGAGGCATTTCCAACGTAGTTGGCCCAATGCGCGTAAGCAGATACAGCAGTTCATTTCGTTCTTTTTTTGGATCTTTTTCAACTGAAAATTAGAATGGTCATGTGTTGATGGTCACTGTGTAATATGGTACAGTAATAATAGGCCTATACACACGGAAAGAAATTAAATCAAATGGTGAAATATATAGGTGCATATACAAGGTGAAAAAAAATTATATATAGTGTATAAATATAAAAAGTATATATATATATTTATATTATATATATATAATATGAATGAAAGAAATGAACAATATAGGCGTATAGATATGAAAATGAACCTATGTGGTGGTATGTTATATTATGGTGGATAATTACAACTATGGGGAAAAGGAAAAGAAAGGACAATGATATATGATGGGAACACTTATAGAATTCAGAAGATCATCAAAGAGGACTCACAGAAAAGTCGTCCAATGATAAAATGAGAAACGGTTGAGTTTAGTTGATGGCGGGACGAGTGCAGTGCGGAAAACAATATTGGTGAGAAGAGAAGAGAAGAGAATATTATTTTATAGAGGGCGACCTTTAAGATAAAATACTGTAATTTTAGAAGAGAAGAGCGTGAGCGTGAGAAGAGCGTATGAGCTAAGTGGGAAATATTAATTGGTAGAGGAAATTGGCAATTGTGAAGATATCAAATGGCATGGAAATCCATCATACTCTTAAAAACAAAATAATCTACCAATAAAAATATCTGTAATAGTTAACATATGTAAAGGCAAGTATTTTCAGAAATTTGATTTTAAATTGATGTGATTTTTTTTTATTTCAGTACTGTATTACAAACAACATTTCATTTCATTTATTATTTCCAGGCAATATAAAATACAAAAAACAAAGACTCAGCCTGAGGATAACCTAAAGCAAAAATCACACAAAACAGTAAACGCTTCCTTTACATAATTTCACGTAAACTATATATATATTAGCTAGGGTCAGTCATCATCGAAAACGATGGACAGCCAATGATATAATGATATCTGAAACCCCATAAAAATATACAAGAAATTTCCAAAGCAAATTGGAATGAAGTTATCAAGAAACCAAAACAAATTAGAAGGAAGTTAGCAAGTAAGGAGTGCACTAAAAGTATTGATATTTACTACTCACCTGTATGGAAAATATATGGATATCAATTAGCTGGCGAGCTGAAGATCATGAGCGGGTAGCGAGTGTTCTACAAATTTCTGAAGTGAACGAACGTTATAAGTACCGTTTAGACATTATTTTGGAATATTCGATTATAACTAAAGAGTGTTTTGAATTGGTGGAATGTCGATGAAATATTGAAGGATGCAGGGGGTTGAGCTAAGTGTAACATAGAAGGAGTTGAGAGCGAGGCTTAAGCAGAAGCTTATGTTCTGTTTGTAATACAGTACTGGAAAAAAAATCACTGGGAAGAAAAATCACATCAATTTAAAATCAAATTTCTGAAAATACTTGCCTTTCTATTACAGATATTTTTATTCCCACACCGACGGCCCTCGAGTTCACCTCATTACACAGTACGCTTTTCCAGCCTCGCTCTCAACTCCTTACCTCCATCCTCATTACACAGTACTTTTTCCAGCCTCGCTCTCAACTCCTTACCTCCATCCATCGTCCTCATTACACAGTACTTTTTCCAGCCTCGCTCTCAACTCTTACCGCGTCCTTCGATATCCAACACACCCCCTATTGATAATCGAATACTCCAAAAAAAAAAAACCCACCCCACATTCCTAACCATTGTTCAAACCTGTCGGACAACTATCAACACGTTCAACCCATTGTTATTAATGTATTCAAATACAATCGACACGTTCAAACCATTGATATGAATGTGTTCAAACCATTGATACTATTTTTGGAACCGAGTTTATTCCAGGTCACATGTGTATTAATGCTAGCACGGAAATTTAATAATGATGCACTATACGCCTTTTATGCGGATAGGCCTATACCGGTTTCCCTCCACTTTTTTTTTTTTTTTTTGCTTTGACACTTTATATTCACGCAAATAACTTGGCCTAGTGGAAAATAGGCTTTAAACGTCAAAAACGCTGAGCGAGAAGTTCGTCCCACGCCTCACTGGGTCTCTACTACCAAGTGCCCAGGGTATTACAGTGGGGCCCTAGCTTTAGACAGGTGCCTGAGGCATATTCGTTTCGTCACTGTCGGTGTAGATTTATCTCTGTAAATTGGTCTTGCTTAGTTAAACCAAAACCAATGACATTTCACTATTAAAAGTGCTTGGTTGAAACATTTAAAAATTACATAAATACAGTTACTGAAGGCCTACGCCTGTGGTTTAAATCATTAGAATAATAGGCCTACATAACATAACATTGTATAATGAGATTACCAAGTTTGTGATCAACTTTGAGTTTACTTCAGTTTGAGTATCTTTATTAATGCCTCTGTGACACAGGCCTACAGGTACATAGTTGTCATCTTGCCTATGATGCCTTTCTCCATTGAGATTATGATGTCTGTTAAATTATAAGTTACCTTAGCGATAGAAGTCAAATTCATTGACCCAACTAGGATCTTGGGGAGGACTACTGTAATTGATGTTAATTGCGCGTTGTCCGTGACGTAAGATTTCAACTTCAAAATCTAGATACTCGTATCTGCAAACTGGGCAGGTGCTACTTGTGTCGAACCATCTGGTGATGCACTGAACATCGGCAAACTGATTGCATCTTGGGCATTTGCAATGTAGATGGTCCAATGTGTGTAAGCAGATACAACAGTCCATGTCTTTGTTTTGCGTCATTATTTGAACTGAAAATTAGAATGTGGTGTGTTAGAATTGAAAATAAAATAATATGCTAATAAAAATATGTGTTAGTTGAAATATAAAAGGCATGATTGTTACAAAACTGATTTGAAATTCATGTGATATTGTCACTATGAAAATGCTAAGTAGGAGCAGAAGAAAGAAGTATAAGAAATGCAACGTACCGTTAGCACTGGACAGAAGTCAGTTGTTTAGGAAGTTAGCTGTTTCGCAGGCGTTCAGCTGGAGCTGAAGAGCAGGTGATATGAATGAATGCAGGAGTGTGAAGGGCGAGAGGTGATAGTGAAAATTATTTGCAACTTGATTGTTGTTGTAATTTGACTGTTATTGGTGACGTCACGTATTTAGTGGTCATGGCTGTGTATAATGTGTATTTAACCACAGAGAATGAAATGGGTATTTAACCACAGAGAATGATATGAATGAATGCACAATGTGTATTTATCCAGAGACAATGGTTGTATTTATGTAGGGACAAGTAACTTTGATACACTAAATCACCACATAAAATAAATGTTGAAGTTGCTATTTTTAGTGATTGAATAGTTACAGAAACAGGTAACCACGTAACTTTGATACACTAAATAACGACATACAATATATGTTGAAGTTGCTAGTTTGGGTGCAGGTCAACTCGGCCACAAGTCAACTCGGCCACAGTCAACTCGGCCACAAGTCAACTCGGCCACAAGTCAACTCGGCCACAAGTCAACTCGGCCACAAATCAACTCGGCCACAAAAAGTTTCGGCCACAAAAAAATTGGCTACGTTCTACTCGGCCACAAGTCAACTCGGCCACAAGTCAACTCGGCCACAAAAAAATTGGCTACGTTCTACTCGGCCACAAGTCAACTCGGCCACAAGTCAACTCGGCCACAAAAAAATTGGCTACGTTCTACTCGGCCACAAGTCAACTCGGCCACAAGTCAACTCGGCCACAAAAAAATTGGCTACGTTCTACTCGGCCACAATGCCTACATTGTGTCTTTAAGAATGGACCGGTTGATACCAAATTTAGAAAGTTGTTGGATAAAAAGGTTTTTGGAAGAAGATTATGAGGACAAGTTCAAATGAATTTTGAGAAGTCAGTAAATAACATCCAGTTGAAAAACAAAGAAATAAAATCCGGGTTAAGACATCTCTGCAAACAATCCTGGTGGCTAAAGACTGAAAGAAGATGCATGAGAGAGAAAACGTGGCGGCGTTAGAGGGTGGCAGGGGGAATTCCTCCCTGGAAAATTTTCGAATTTTCTTGCCCTCCCTCGGTTCTCCCATCCCCTCCCCTTGAAAGAAAAGAAAACATAATTCGTCAGGAAGAAAAAAAAATGTATATTCTACATAATTAGTAGACTACCGCATCTCTATAAAATCGGTTAAATAATCCCAAGCCTCTGAAAAATAAATAAATTGTCATATTTTTCGAGGGCTTTTCCCAACTGTACGGTACCATTTTTGAAACATGTTGAGCGACCCCCGCCCTTGGCCATCCCCCGTCGGAAAAATCCTGACACCGCACCAGCATATTTTCCCTGTAAATTTACCTTTCCCCTCACTCCCCTACCCCAGATTCCAGACACTGGCGCTGAAACTGGGTGGGACATTAATCACTCGAAAATGTTAGATAGGCCTAAGGTAAACAGTAAAGAAATGGGTTGGTATTTGCGATAACTAAGGAACGTCTGTGGATGGGAATAACGTCGGCCCTTTTTCAAAGAGCAAAAACATAATAAGATAAAGATTGAGAAAAATAGACACAAAAAATGGGATAATGGATTAGCACAAAGTTTAAATGTATATAGTTGGGCATAACATTATTAGTGTCTATACACATGTAGGTGGACAAAGTGCAACCCGCAGGCCGCAGCCACGCTCCCATGGCAATTTTAATTGATGTGCGCCCCGCCTACCATCTTTGACTAGAAACCCCATTACTTTTACGGCCCGACACTGCTACGTCAAATTAATATTAAAACTGAGCATACAGTGGTACGGTATATACCGTACCGTATTCGTCAAGCTCTCCCACATGCCCCTACCATCGTAGACGCCACTGTAAAATTAAGATGCAGCCCTCAGTGGTTAAATCAAAAATTCACTTTGGCCCTCTCCAATTCATGTTTATCTCCCCTGATTTATAGAATTAGGAAGAGCAGAAAAGTCCAGGGGAGCAGCCAAGGGGGGGGGGGGTGAATAAAGGAAGTTCTGACACCTCCCGGCCGGAAATCGGCCCCTATTTTCTGAAGTACGCGGACGGATCTCTAGGCCTTTTTTTTTTTTTTTTTTTTTTTTTTTTTTTTTCTGTCCATAATATCCCCGTGCAGGTCTAACTTTACAGTCTGGCCTCCTTTTCTATTATTATGATTTACAGAATAATGAGTCACGATTGCCTCAAAACCCGGCGCATACGCCGTTTCATCCACAACTCCGGTCAGCAACCCATGGTTCGCGAATTATTTTTTGGGGAGGTCGCATCTCCCATAAGCAATTAATTACAATTAATCGAACCGACAGTCAGAAGCGACGATGGTGAACAGTTGCTTCAAACTATAGGTTTAGGCCTAAGCTATACTAATTAAAGAAAATAATAAAAACGATAATAAGGTAAAGCCTATAGTAGTACGCTTTCTCACGTCCAAGAAAATGCTCGCAGTATGGTAATAGAACAACATGCCTGTTTTTAAGGCCTATTTGAAAACAGGCCTTCGTTGAGGCTCACGGTCATAAAATCATCACCCTTGTAGTGGAACCTGAAGAATGAAATCTCACGTTTAAATTATTTTTCTGTTTACAACCTAAGGCTGGTTTTCTTAGAGGTTTTATAGAAATTAACATGGTGAAACCTCTTGATTCTATCTTTTATCACGTAAAATAACGCACATTTTCTGGGCCTTCGCGCCCTTGGACCCCCGGGACATAGTTGCTGGGCTACTACCCTGGCTAGTTAAACCCCCAAGCCTGTTTTTTCCCCCTTCTTTTTATTCCGGACATGTTCGTTCGACAAAATGTAATTTACTGGAATGTGTTGAGAATTATGTTGCTTTCATTGTTATACAGCCATCATTTGGGTGTTGGAGGAAGGATAGGTATTTCGACGGAAACGCTTATTCCTAAAGAATGAGGTTCTCCGGGATGGGACGTTATTTGAGAGAAATGAGTTCATTCAATGTGGGACGTTATTGGATAAACACTGATCTCTAATATAATAGTATCTTGTGGATATTTCGTACGATAAAAATCGTAACGGTACCGGATTGGTCTACAGGAGTTCGTGTTTCGTACAGGTCATTCCATTCATAGAAAGCCTTTATATTGGAGAAAGCGTAGTCGATAGCCATAGTAGCCTATGTGAATACTAACTACGACTACATAAAGTTGATTATAAGATTGAAAAATATTAGGCCTAATCTTATTGTAGTAGTGATATGTACACGTTTTAATTATTGTTATTTATTCGTTAACGTATTTATTGTATTCACATTAAATTTAAAGTATTGTTTAAGTATGAATTACTATGTCCATGTAAAATTAATCTTATTTATTAAAATTGTATATTCAAATAATATAGTAATAGGCATAGCCGAGGTCTAGCCTAGACTATGCCTAAACAAAATGACTACGCCTATTATGTGAGTGTGCAAAATTGTGAAAGAATAAAGGAAGAATGGGAAAGAGATTTGGAGTGGCTGAAATTTTTTCCGAAAATATACAATAGTAGTCAATATGCTATTATTGCATTACGTTTTTGTAAACAATTATGGGCACTAATCGTCAGAGGTCTCGGTGCCACAGCCTACACTTTTCATAATTCGTAATTTATAGGTGTATAAGAGACAGGTATATACCGTACCGTATTCGTCAAGCTCTCCCACATGCCCCTACCATCGTAGACGCCACTGTAAAATTAAGATGCAGCCCTCAGTGGTTAAATCAAAAATTCACTTTGGCCCTCTCCAATTCATGTTTATCTCCCCTGATTTATAGAATTAAGAAGAGCAGAAAGTCCAGGGGAGCAGCCAAAGGGGGGGGGGGGGGGGGAGCAAGGAAG